AAAGAGTTTTATGTGTCTTTCTTTATTTCTAGTTCAATTGTAGTAGGTGTTTTCATATTGTACCTTTCAGCTTTATCTAGAAGCAATTGTAATGGGTATTTTGAGTATTCAAGTTAGAGTTCACTTGAAGTTGCCGCAGCAGTTAGAGGCTGGTTGCTACAACGGGATTAGAGTTAATCCTTAGGTTTACTAAGAGTTTTGTAAATGCTGTTTTGGCTCAGTGATTTTAGTGGAAGTTTGAGAAAATCCCACTGAGTAGTAGGTCGTGGTTTTTTCACCTTTTGAGCCAGGTGTTTTCCACGTAAAAATCTCCGTGTTCTTTATTTTATGTACTTATTATTCCGCAAACAGTAGTAGTTAGTACACCTAGAAGAACCAGGTTCTTCTAGAGCGAAAATTGGGTACCACACAAATCACCTCCCCTCTTGTGTGGTATTGACGTTTAGAACATCATACCACTTTGAGTTCGGGAAAACTTGTGCAGCCAATTTCGAGTAGTAACAAGTATTTGGACATTTTCATAATAAATGCAACTTCTGTACTTTGTAAGAACACGCCACCAATGCTAAATGTTGATTCCGATGGTACAATGGTAATAAGAATGCTAAGTACATCACGCACCGTCATTGAAAGATCGGGATATTTTTCTAGAATGGTCCTTCCAATACATGACAACATCATCTCTTGAAACTTCTCAAGATCAAGTTTTGGTTCCTCTAGTAAAGATCCAATTCTGACTTTCCATCTCTAAAGGCAGTATATTTTTTATTTTTAATATATTTTAAATAAGTATTTTATTAGGCCCACTAGCCGGGCCGGCCCAGCCTCGGTCAAATCTCACGGGCCACGGGCTTACTCGGGTCGGGCTTAAAAGCCTCGTTTTTAAACGGGCTCCAAAAATTCTAGCCCAACCCTGCTAAATCATGGCTGGGCTGGGCTGACCCGACGGGCCAAACCCATATTGACGGCTCTACTCGGAAGCCAAATTTATGATACCTAAAGAACGTTTTAACTTATTTTTGAAACGTAAACGTTTGAATATAGTAGTGAAATATTTTTACATATTTTCAAATATCAAAAATGTATCAAGAAGTATTTTAGTATCTCCAATCGTTTGATAAATGAGTTAAGTTGTATCAAGCAGTCAATTTTGATGTTCTTTAGCCTATAGGTAAAAAATTCTACGTCCCATATACATGTCACACTTTCTTTTTGTATTTTGATTGTCTCAAAATAGTACTGCATAATAAAAATTTCTTAAGAGTCAACCTACAAACTTTTAATAAGTATACTATAATATATCATTCTTCTAGTTTCGTGTTTAATCAAATGAACGATAAAAAAAATAAAGGGAAGACTAGTATATATTCTAAAAGGAAAAGGATATTTAGAAAAATTAGAAAGCATATTGAGTCTATATTTGACCTTTTGATTCCTTATTTGTGAGGTTTGGGGTCCCTCCCACGTGGCATCATCATCAGCAAAACACATAGAAAGATGGCCGCGGCCTTTTTCTGATGTATCACGCACATGGACAGGTGGCCCCCACGTTCACTAAGTTTTTGATATTTAGGGAAATTTACCCACTTGCCAATTCTGGAAAGTTTTATGACAGCAAAAAAGAGAAACGTTATCTATCACTACCAAGTCTTTGGAGTCGCCCGCAAATCGTGCTTCAACGTTCAATATTTATATTGAAGTTTCAAAGTTGTACACTTCAGACCCTTAAGGGAGGGAAATGAGAGAAAAAAATCTACATACTTTTTTCTTCTTGTTCAGTTATGGGACAGAACTAGTGAAAGAGTAGAACATCACCCCTCCGTTTCAATTTATGTGAACCTGTTCGACAGGTCACGGAGTATAAAAAAAATAAAGACTTTTAAAATTTGTGGTCTTAAACAAGAATAAAAGGGGCCCAGAGTATATTTGTGTGGTTATAAAATGTTCTCATTAAAGGTAGAATTGTAAGTTTAAACT